ATACTAACTCATGCTTCTGATCTTTCATTTATTGAATCCTTACATCTCTTTTTTATGCTTGTATGTAAGCAGCTTGGCAGTAACCCACGTGCACCTCTTATTAAACAGTTATGCTAACGAATTTATGCTGATGTCGGTCGGTATTTATTACAGCGGAATATGCGTTGAAAGCAGTGGATGCGGCCGGTACATGCATCGCCCTCCGTGGCAAAGACGGGACGGTGTTCGCAGTCGAAAAATTAATCAAAACCAAGTTGTACCTGCCGACGACTAACCGTCGTCTGCGCAACGTCGATACTCACATTGGCTTCGCATTCACTGGCATGTACCCTGATGCCCATGCCCTAGCTGAGTTCTGCATCGAGGAGGCTCAGGACTACTTCCGTCAGTACCGCACGAAGATACCTTGTCAACACCTGGCCGACCGGCTATCGCTCTACATGCACGCTTACACGTTGTATGGAGCTTTACGGTGTGTAGACTTTCACTTTGTTTTTTATTACTTAATTTCTTCAGTCGAAAATAAGTCATAGGTTTTAGTAAAGTCACTACATGACCGACATTGGCCACACTGTAGTATAGTTCTCTGAAATGACAGCTACTTGAATATAACGTAAAAACCAATCAGAAGTTACTATCAATTCGAAAAAGTAGAGAGTTTTCCAATCGCTTTTTTCATAAAGAAATTTGAACAGCATGGTTGATTTCACTACAGTAAAGAACGCTCCTGCTGCTGAAAAACCGTTGGCAAAGCCATAGACCTCTGAATAATTTGGAAATAAAGAAGCCATGCAACACCAGCTCGTCTGTGTTCAATATTAATAATAAAGCTTTGTCTTTAAAGTTGCTCTGTTTTCTAACTGAAATATAACGAGTGGTATGAATTTCGCTTCAGTTCGAGCCCTGTTTTACGGATGAGGGAGCTACGGTACTCTTCTCAAAACTCCGACTGTTCCTAGCAGGGTCGCCTTCAGGGGCTCATCTACCTTGATCGCCTCATCAGTTGACTTTATTATGGTAGTCTGTTCCCACTGCTTCGAGGCAACGATCACCGCAGCAATGACTTCCGTCTTTATTCCCAAAATCTTTTGTGTTTCCATTCTCAATTCTTGATATTTCAGTACCTTTTCTATCCCTTTAACAACAACGTTTCCGTCATTCGGGCATGCTATATCAGTTTGTTCTGCCCATCTTTTTACTTAGTCTGCCACCTGCCATCTGTCTAGACGATGAGCCTATTTTACTTTCTTAGTTCATATTTCAAAGGCGCAGTGTATTTTCACATGCTCTGGTTCTTCTACCGCTTTATCACTGGTAAGTCTGCTCGTTTGTACAAATTCCAATAGACTAGTGATTGCAAAGTTGTATTGCGTTTCTTTGTATTCTCTATTCGTGAGCGTTTCGCAACCGGAAATTATTTGGGTCATGGTTTCGTTCTTCACTTGATACATTCTGTTTTGTCTCTGGCTTCGTGTGCAAGCTCATTGCTTTGCATGAGTTGGCGTATAGTACTTGATCTTGGGCAGCTTTTAGAAGATCTTGTTTCATCGTAGAGTTCAATTCTTGACAGCCAACTGAATGTCTTGTTGATGTCTTTGTGTTCACCAAGTTAGCGAAGATACTACCCATGAAGATGGTTATTAATCCAACTATTGTATCGGGCGTTCTCTACATTTTCCTTATGATTTTCTGCATTGCTTTTGTAAATTCATTTAATGGTACAGTTTCCAAGAGACTTATCGATGTGCTAAAATGTTGATAGGAGAAAGAATGTTTTCACACAGCATACAATAGTACAAGGTTTCGACTTATCTTTAAGCTCTCTTCTCTTGGCTCACAACTGCCATGAAAACTGAGTCATTTTGGCTAAAGAAGTTGGCAGATCCAGTCGAAACCTGATGCTATATTTAAGAGTAAACTTCTGTAGCCTACAGACATTTAATAATCATATGGAAGACCAGGCGGGGAACGTTGAAGTGTTTACTTAAAATTTTACTGTTTCTGAATATTCATGAAGAAACCGAATGTTCAAAAATATTTGGTTATGTCGCTATTACTAATGTTCCCGTAAATGCAAATTTATTAAATAGCTTTGATGATTAATTTGTGAAATAAGTTACATAGAATATTGCTTTTAATTTTTTTCACCAACGCCGTTTTTATTCTGGATCCATTAGTGGACTGTTTTCTTGATGCATGGTTAGAAACATCGCTGATGCTGTTTGCAGTGACGGTAATGAAACGGCATCACTGTTAGTTAAACCTTTCCGTCTGTTGTACGTTCGAATTTTCTAATCATGCGTCAAGAAAGCAATCTATTTGTGAATATTGTTTTTTAATTCATGTTTTAAAATTCAGTCAGAATTTTCGATCACCGAAATATGACAGTAAAACAAATATCAGTAATTGAATTAGGCTATATTTCATAGGCTGTACTTCATTTTTATATAAAACAAAATTATGAACCTGACATTGCCATCAAATTCGACAATCCTTAGCTTTTCTAGAACAGCATAAATACATGTTTAGCAAAATGATGACGTGTGGCAAGGCTCTTTTTCCTCAAATAACCGTAGCGTAGAACTGCAGTGGAAGCGTTTTACTCTGAGTTTATAGATTAAGTGATTTGTTCTGATACTGATTTAACGTCAGTAAATGGTTTTTTGTTTTTTACGTAACTTGATTTTTTATTTTAGCCCTTTTGGCTGCTCGGTGTTTCTCTCCTCATGGAGCGAAATAGAAGGTCCTCAGCTTTTCATGATCGAACCTTCTGGTGTCATGTATGGTTATCGAGGATGGGCAATAGGTAAAGGACGACAAGCGGCAAAAACGGAAATTGAGAAACTTAAACTGGAAGAACTTACCGTTAAAGAACTTATCAAAGAAGCTGCCCGAATCATCTATGCTGTCAGAGACGAAACGAAAGACAGAAACCTCGTTTTGGAGATGAGTTGGGTTTCAAAAGATACGAAAGGAAAGCACGAAATGTTACCGCCTGATCTACTAGCCGAGACTGAAGCATGGGCGAAGGAAAAGGTGTCTGAAGTGGAAGGCGATGAAGAACATTAGGCCCAACTTTTTAGTATGGTTTAGTAAATTCTCTGTATGCCAGAATTGATTAATATATAATTCTGACAGATATCAACATTCAAGTTTATTTGTTTAAATAACCTCTAAGAAGAAACGGAAACCATTCAGCTCATCCAGTGTTAAGCCAGTAAAATTAATAAAAGCAGCACCAGTATAATGTATAAACATATAGAAGTAATAAGTTTATTCGGCTAAGTATCAAATTCACTCGTGCATGCGTTCAAATTCATTCCGTTTCGTTTCGTCAGTGACTTTTCTTTGCCATATCATTAACCAGCAGGTTTGGTTACGGTAGAGTTTAGCATTGTTTAAAAGTGTAGCGCTTTGACCGAAACAACAATCTCCTTTTCGTCCTCATCACTGTCCAGCACAAACCAACAACTGAGCAAAACGTTATGTACGTCAGAGATAAAGCGAATGACATACGAAACAGTTATATTGTAGCAAAGATTTGTTTAGCAGCGGCATAACTTTATTAAAGCGGTCATTAATTAGGATGATAACGAAATAACCCCTAAACGATTGTCTATGTTTCAACATCCGCCAGATTCCAAAGAGATGAAGATATGCCCGTCTCTAGTATAACAAAATAAATGAGGTTTCAACTCATAAAATCTTGAAGGCTACCATTATCGCAAATTAAAACCTACTTTATTTCGCTTTAGATATAATCATTCCTCATCTCCATGAAATGGGCTTTAATCTTACTTCACACTAAGCTTTTCGAAGATTTGATGTAATGAAATATACTATACTGAAAATATATCTAGCAGTAAATAGTGATTCAAAGAATGGTGTTTTGAGAAGTGTTTCTAACTGTTTCTCCATATTTTCGCTCCTTCGAAGACAGAAACTTGTGATGTCCTCTCAAGAAAGCAAATGATATAATTCATCCAGTATTTTAGAGTACTCAACAGTCATGCTTAATTAAAGATGTGATGTCACTCTTTTAAGAGCATGATTAATCATGTTCCACAGGATATAAATTCATGAGGATGCCCTTGTTGTTTTCATTGTAACCGTAGCTAACAACAATAGGATCAAATGAGTCAATTTTACTGGAACAAGCATATTTAATCATAATTTAAAAAACAAAATTTTAGTCTCACGCAAACTACACAGTAAAATTACATTGAATAAATTAGTTTTTTAAGGAAGCGTGATATAAAATACCCTTTCTTACAATACAAACAATTGAACGTAAGCAAGAAAGAAATGTTGTGATCATTGCTTCTGTTCTTGGGCTAACCTAGATGCTTTCTGGACTACCTCATCAATATTTCCCACCATGTAAAACGCTACTTCCGGTAAATGATCTAATTCACCTAAATAAAATGTGCAAAATTCAAGTCAAATTTGAGTAGAGAACATACCATCGAGGATCATCTTAAATCCTTTAATCGTATCCGCTAGGGGAACGAACTTTCCCGGTGATCCGGTAAACACCTCTGCAACTTGGAAAGGTTGAGACAAAAACCGCTGGATCTTTCGCGCTCGAGCAACTGTCAGCTTATCATCTTCAGAGAGTTCGTCCATTCCCAAAATGGCAATTATATCTTGCAAAGATTTGTAATCCTAGAAGAAGAAAAGACCACGTTCAGTGACGTAATGTTGAAATGTACATAGAACTAGTATTATCCTTGTTAAAAACCCGTGCATTAAATCGAAAACAATTTCTGCAAATGAAATCATGGTACAGTACCTTCACTAGTTTACAAGACTGAAAATGGTAGAACCCTTCACAGTGAGCGAAAGGACAGGCTCAATGGCCTTGAGACCAGTGTCAATAGGCCACATCAATTTATGAGGATTTAATTTTATGCCGGTACGGAGTGACTATGAAAGAAGATTTTAAGAATGTTATACATTCTTCTCTGCTAACACGACCGCTCTTTCTCCGGAATATGTACAAAACAATCGCGGATCTGAATTAAATTGCCAAAATTGAGAATTTTAAAATGTAGAAGATACGTGAACTGCCATTATATAAGTCTAAATTTGCCTGCGGCTACCGTATAAGTGAAAGCTGATCAAAATGTAGGTTTGTTTTAAAGTTAAGACTAAAAATCATACAGATATAAGAATTTTAAATTTCCTGAACAATAATTCTTAAAAATTTTCTTCATCAAACCTGCAAGATCTTCTGCACGCCTCTGGCAACCGCGTAGTGTTCTGCGCCTACCACGTTCGGATCCATGATTCGAGATGTGGAATCCAAAGGATCGACAGCCGGGTATATACCCAGTTCGGCAATGCCTCGACTAAGAACAGTTGTAGCATCAAGATGCGCAAACGTAGTCGCCGGAGCCGGGTCAGTCAGATCGTCGGCAGGGACATAGATAGCCTGCACTGATGTGATGGAACCCTTCTTTGTTGTGGTGATTCTTTCTTGCATAGTGCCCATATCAGTAGCAAGGGTCGGCTGATATCCCACGGCGGACGGAATACGCCCAAGCAAAGCCGATACTTCAGAGCCTGCTTGAGTGAAACGGAAAATGTTGTCAATAAACAACAGCACATCTTGCCCCTCAATATCTCTGAAATATTCAGCCACTGTGAGACCGGTCAAAGCCACTCGAGCACGCGCTCCTGGAGGTTCATTCATCTGACCATATACCAATGCAACCTTCAACAGAGTACATCAAGCAATGTCGTTCATTCTGCTAATAACGCTTACCTTCGATTTGTCCCCTTTTAAGTCGATGACTTTAGATTCGATCATTTCATGATACAAATCATTGCCTTCGCGAGTTCTCTCTCCAACACCAGCGAACACTGAATATCCACCGTGAGCTTTGGCAACGTTATTAATAAGTTCCATAATCAACACGGTCTTGCCAACGCCAGCGCCGCCAAACAGTCCGATCTTGCCGCCTTTCGCATACGGAGCAAGTAAATCGACCACCTTTATGCCGGTTACAAGAATTTCCTGAGTAACACTCATTTCAACAAAGGTTGGAGCCTCTTGATGAATGGCCGACAGTCTGAACGGTTCTTATGAACAAGAGCAAAATGTATTATGCAAAAAACTAAGTTAGCGAATTACATCTAAAGAAAAAATCCAAGTTATAGAATCCAACACTTCTACTTACACAGTCATGTCCTCAGTTTAAATTTAAATATTTCTGCAGGATGTCCCTTAAAAATTCTGAAACACAAATACCGTCTGAGACAATTCATTCTTAAGAAAAGTATGCAACGTGGAAAAACCAGATAGAAGCAAAGCATTATTAGAAGGGAGGACGCGCAGCTGCAGTGAAAATGAAGCATATCTCATCGATGCTACCTAATGATAAGAATAACAATATGCACTGATTACTTTTAAAGTTAAACCGCTAGTGCACTAAATAAACGAAAAACTCTTCAAGACATCCTTTATCCAAAGGTTTAGGGTTGTTCAGGGATTAGTATTGTTTCCCTTAGTGATTACCACATTTACCTATGATGTTTATATATATAAAGCATTCACCTATTTTGAGAAGGTGACACGTGAGAACGTTTAAAAGCCCACAGGTTTTACCGACCTAGTCGCATTCTCGCCGCAAATTTTCTAGCATATTCTCCTGCAAAGAATTGCATAAAAGATCCGCATTTAGTTATGACTGGTTAAAGAATCAAGAGTTAAATGGTCAATTCTCTTGTATAATGATTGATATTGTTTCTGTCGCAGAAGTAATGTCTCTTGATCATGTTGAAGGCAAGTTAAAGTCTGTTCAGTGATGTTTCAAGGCAAACAAAGATTACTACTACTATAACAACAACTGCGGTACAAAATTTTTGTAGAATTAGTTAGATCCTTAGTAGAACTAGCTTATCTCCAGTCCATCTCAGCACATACAGAAAAAACCAAAACATTACCAATAATTTTACATCTAAATAATACGTGGAACAGAAGGTTTATTATAAATGAGAAGTTGACCGAGCATCGTGCATCGATTCTAAGAACAAAGGGTTTGAAAACAAAATATTTTTATAATATTATGACATAAGTTGAAAGAGCAGACCTTTTGGCAAAAGAATTAAAGACAATGAACGGCAAAAGTTATTCAGCAACATAAATAGAATGACTAACGAATGAATATCAAATCGTAACTAAAAGGTTTACAAACAAAGATATTTGCAAATGATAAAAATTTTTATACCTTTTCGTATTTATGGGGCCACGCTCGTCGATCGGCTCACCGATGACGTTCATGATCCTTCCCAATGTGGCTAGTCCAACCGGGATTCGAATTGGATAGCCGGTGTCCACGACACCTTGTCCACGAACCAAACCCTCGGTGCCATCCATGGCAATTGTTCGCACGACGCTCTCACCAAGGTGCTGTGCCACCTCTAGCACAAGCCGCGACTTCCTGCCCTGAACCTCCAACGCATTTAGGATTGGAGGTAAATCGCCCTCAAAATGAACGTCCACCACGGCACCGATGACGGCCACGATCTTCCCAGTGGCATGCTTTGCCTCGACCTTCTCTTCCGCCTTGGTCTCTGTTTTGGTATTGGCAGTTGCCAAATTTCTTTTCACTATGTGCACAAAACTGCAGCGATTGCTGGCCTTGGCACAGCCTAAACCTAATCGTTAAACACTGATACACAAAGTCCATTCGATGTCTCACCTGACGGTAGTCCAGTCCATAACAAAGGTTTAAATGTTGATACCGTGGCTACATTTCGATGCAAGTTACATGCCCCTACGAACAATCTCCTCCCTAACCGGCCTATCGAAATACTCTGCACCATGTTTTGCATCAAACACCGGCTTGAACCAGACACATGTTAGTTAGTACGGTTTATAACGTGCAATAGTTTATCCTGCGCATCATATCTGTCTAAATGCTTCAAATACTTCAGAAGGTAAGAATTTGACCTATCGTCTCAAATCAAATTTTATTTGCTTCAAACTTCTCCAAAGGAACATCTGGAGCATACATCTTCTCAAACAATGGAGCAGAAAAGATACTGATAAAACAGCATTCACCAAAGACGGTTCAATACAAACGATCAATAGAATGCTCGGTTCCGCACAGCGCCTATCAAATGCTTTGCTCTTGCGGTCATTGCGTTCCCGACGACGGGTAATTACTGGTTCTGTGGTTTCAGATATAACCGATGAGTAAGGATAAAAAATTTACGCATGAATCGGTGTTAATGCGTTTTTTGGTATCGGAGATTCTCGAAACAGACATCAACCAGAGAAAACACGATATACGGTCGAAGAGTGTGCAATGATGTAATGAGTAGTAAAAGCAATTACAGCAACCAAAAAGCCACCGCATTGCCGTGACATCGCGCTAACTCTGAACGACAGGTCAATCGGCTGCACACGAACAATTCCTCACAATCATTCATGTTCACAAACAAAATGATTTTGTCAATGGTTAAAATTTTCATTTTCCACAGTTTGCCTCACTGAGAAAAACATTAACAGGTTAACTGAATGAGCGTAGAAAATTTTGTTCCCTGAAATAATGCAAATAGATTTCGCTTACCCATTTAATACATCTTTCGTAAGAATACAATACGCAAATACATTCTTCGATTCAATGCCTGGCAACACTAAAGAATACTGGTCTTATTTTGCTCCGAAGTGCCATCGATTATCATTAAAAACGAGCAGACAAGTCCGTAAACAGATTCCACAGGTACGAAAGAATCAGAAGAAAAACGATGGTGTCATTTCTTCGAACTGTTCCATGCATTTTGCCCTGACAATAAAAATTATTGATGACGCCATGATATGTTCTTCTTATTCATTGTATTACATGCTCAACTCCAGTCATGCTGCATACATATGCTTGTGGCTTCAAATACGGCTTTTTCTATGCGGCATATTACTTAAGACAAGGAATTCACAGCATGAGAGCCTTATGAGGTCATACAGTAGCGGTTAGTATAACAGCTATAGAGCTTGGTGATTACATTGTCAGGACTATCATTTGTCTTCATCCCGCTGGATGCTGACTCGATATTTCGCAGAAAATTTCAGAAAATAAACTGAAGCATCACGACTAGACAGAAGTAGCGAGTTAGTTTCCAATGTTAGTCTTTTAACTATCACCCTACGTTGTAATTGGACTGATACTTTTCAATAGAGGATTTTCAACAAATTCAATCTCAAGATCTACATCGCAATGAGCAGAAGGAACCGAAGTAGTGAAGGATGTGACAGAACAAGGTACGGTGACGTAATGACGTTGTTGAACTGTTGTGAACTTGAATCAGTCCGATGATAGTACCATATCAGTCAGCGGACATGCCTACTTATTTTTTCAAATAATACGCAGTTGACCTCACGTACCCTTTGCGACATTCAATTCGTTATCTAGCTTGTCTTTCTTATAAGGGAACCATCAGCGGAAGCTGATAATCCTCCAACAAATCCATTCTTACATTTTTGTTGCCACCTCTGACCAACTAATATGACCACTTGGTTATCCCAGCATGTTCTTGGACGACTAACTCGACGTTGGTGCAAGTTTCTAATTCTTTACGTTCACAGACTGTCTTCAACGAGCCACACAGTCTGTCCGTCATCTCTTGACGTCAAAGGACAGAGTATTGTCAAAATCGTGCACTCAGAATGTGATCTCGGAGGGGCCAACCTTACATATTTTCGCTTCAACACTCTTTCTCGTCCATCATCTCATCTTCCATGATCGCTTCTCATTTCGGGTCGCGGAGGCAGACGCGTCAGACAGAGCTTCCAGCGTTCCCGATCCTGTGCCAGGGTCTGAGCTATGGCAGAAGACAGCTACAGTCTGGAATAGACTCCTTCCATATATTCACACCTGGTTTATATTGGCCGTCCCCCAATAGTTTCGCGAGTCGGATTGGCAAAAAACAGTTGTTTAGCCTTCCTTTCTGCAGGCATTCGTAACACATGCTCAGACAACTGCAGCTATGACTTCTCAATCTGCAGAAGCAAAGGCTATAGACCAAGGCTCTCCCGGATATCAGTATTCAGGACCATGTCGAAACACAGCGACACACAGAAACAAGTCCAGCGACTCGTCTAAGAAAGCTCATTTCAGCCGCTTGTAACCGGGTTCGAAGTTTTTCAGTGATGGTCGACGACCCATGACCGAAGGTAAGCATGGGGA